TGCTTAAATTAATGACACAGCCCGATAACTCGACCCAGAATATCCGAGTTCGGGTCTACCTGTTTAATAAACAAGTCGAGTTCAGGTCTACCTGTTTAACAAACAAGTTGGGTTAGGGTCTTATTTTTAGTCCCGTTTATATATGGGGTCAGATTCGGGTAAACTTGCTTACCTGAAAACAATCCAATTTAGATCCGAGTCCGTCCGCTTGTAACACCAAAAATAAAATGATAACGAGTCTATCCGTCTCGGGATCGTGCGAACTTAGTTTTTAAAGCTAGGGTTTCTTCTCCCATTCTCCGTGGCTTGTACGTGACAGTACTGCTTCACCGAGTTCTCTCCGTTACCAAGCAGTCGATGAGTTCACCACGGCGTCGTGAGAGGGCTTACTAATTTCAAGTTGCCTCCTTCTCCCTTCTCCATCTAAATTTTTCTCATCATTTCTCTAATCTGCGATTGAAAGAACTGAGGAGAGTTAGGTAAAATGATAAATGTGTAAATCAACCCATCTCGATCTTTTATTTTGTAATAATCGTTCCATTGGCATTTCAATTTTTTAAGCGATGATTTTTTTGGGTTTGGCCATTTGGGATGTGAAACCCTACCGACAGTTTTTGTTAGTGCAGGTTATTACTCTGGTAGTTCGGTACTCTGGTTGTTGTAGGAAAATGGAGCTTGTTGGGATGATTTTTTTGGGTTAGGGTTGTGACACCCTACAACCCTAACCCTAGGCTGATGCCCCTTTTTAATTTTGGGTTAGGTTGTGACTTCAGCTGTTGTTGAAGCCTGTTGTTGGAGCCTGGCTGCATGGTAATTCACAAGTCAAAGCAGTAAATTTTTATTGCTTCTCAAATAATTGATGTACTGCTTTGGTATTGAGAGTGAAATCTGATATTGTGATTTGTGAACTACCATGTAGATGTGCAGATCAAATTTATAGCATTGGGCAATATATTTTTGCAGAAATAGAGAAAGATTTTGTTTTGATTAAGGACTGTGGTTGGCTTATGGTTGACTGCATTTAACACTGAAAAAAAGCTTATAAATTAAAAATAGAAGGCTATTATGTACCTCTTATATTCATTTATTATATTTTGATCCTTTGCTTTCTCTTAGTTTGCTCCACTATAGAAGTATATCATTTAACCAAATGCTGAAATGCTTTAGTATGTTTGTTTCTTCTGCTCTTGAAAAATGAAAAGTAATGCTTTAGCTTCTGTCTTGTGAATTTAAGTTTAGAGAAATTGGTACACTATGCTTGTGGGTTTACATATGAGAGAAATTTTTTTATGCATTTGTATCGCTGTGTAGTTTTGGTTGTGACTTTAGGTTTAAGTTACTTATTTAATTGTTTGCTGATTACACCAAATTTTTTACATGAGAATCCCTTGCATATGAATATGAAAGTTATTCAAATTATCAAATGTTCAATGTCTGATTCATTTAATTATCATGTATATTGATGTTCTCCTACAAATTTGATTTTTAATTATATTAAATTTTATGTCTAAATGCAGTATTCTAATAACTTTTTTTTTAATAAATATTATCATTTGAATTAGCAAAATTTGTTTGATCTAAATGTCTCGGCGGTCGGGTTGGGTCGCCGGGTCGGGTCGGTTCGGGGCTGGGTTGGGGTTGGGTCCCGGTTTATGACCCATTTTCCTAAACTGGTTAGGTTCGAGTTAGATGAGTTGAAACCGGGTCAACTCTCGAGTTGGATCTGAACCTGACCTGAAAATCCATTTTGACACCTCTAACAATCTCCACTTGGTGAGGTGTGCAACTTTGTGCAGTATAAATCCTTTCTTTAATCGGGGTGCTTTGGTTGTTGGTTGTATTGCCTTCATTTAGGATCTAAGGGTACTAATGCAATTTAAGATGAACTAATGATTGAAACATAAAAAGTATAATATACCCTTCACCAAAAATATGTTGTTTTTAATGTAAAAACTTTAAATGCGCTTCTATCATCGTAAATAATAATTTAATAGTAGTCAAAAATTTCAAATCTCATAAGAAAAACATGTGAGCTAATGCAAAATTATAAAAAAAAAACAAATAAGTTTCACATTATGAAATGGAACCTAACACATACACATTTGAAAAAAAAAATCAGATGATGGGCTTGATGTGGCAAGTTGGTAAAAGTCGGTGGTGGCTTGAGGACAGGGAGAAGGCATTTGCGAGCTGAAGAGTGATTTCATGAACTTTTTTTCTTCACATGCTGATGGTCCCATCGATACCTTGCCAATGGGCCCTCTTGCCATGACCTTCACTTGGTTTTGTCATCATGGGTTTTAGAAGTTGGGTTGAAGCAAACAGTGAGATGGCGAGTGGATGAGGGTGCTGATGTTTGGTTTCTAGAAAAAGAGAATGAGAGAGTGGGAGGGAGGAGAGCGGTTCATGCGATCTCATGCATCACAGAGGGAGAGAATGAGAAATGTGGTCTGTGGGATGTGAGAGGGAGATGAGGGAGTTCGTGCTTGTGTGATTGATGTCATGAGCAAGAGAAGTAGTTGTTTGCATATTTGAGATGGAGTGAAGGGATTTCGTGCATGTTTTGGGGAAAGAGTGGGCAAGAGTTGCAGGATTTTGGGTTGGAGCAGAGATATGGAGAGGTCGTGATGAGGACATCAGCCAGAAATTTCGACATGTGTACCGACGACGTAGCCGTGGGTCGACGACTAAGATTCAGAGCATGTATTTTTGATGTATTTTTGTTTTTTGTTTTATGTTTTCCGTTTTACCCTTATGGGGAATTGAGTCCTTGTTGTAGCCCGAGGGCAATTTAGTCTTTTCTTTTTTCTTTCATTTGGGCCTATTTATAGGAGGCCTCTTGCATTGTATTAGATGATGAATTATTGAATGAAATTTTATGTTCTTTGTTTTGATCTCTAAGTGAGTTCATGAGAAGAGAAACCCGAGGAGGGTGATAGCAAGACCCGTCAACCGTCGGAGGATTTCAAGATTCGCAGCCCCTATCTCTTCTTTTTCCCTAACATAAACTTCCTCTTCTCACCCATCACCCGCCGGCCCTCCCTACCCAAATCCCCTTTTTCCTCTTCCCAAAAACCGAGCCCCACCCTATACCGCCGACCTCCTTGGACACCCCACCTGCCGGCCAATCACCTAGCCGCCGGCCGCCCCTCCTCCACCTCCTCTTTCCCTAATTCACCCGCTGGCCCCCTTCCCCATTATTTTCAAAATTTGAAATTCAAATTGAGATTCAAAGTTTCCTAATTTGACAAAAGCCAAATAAGGAAAGTTTCTCATGAAATTCAATTTAATTTCAAATTAATTTGGATTTGAATTCCTCATCCCTAATTTGCCAAGATGAATTACGAAACCCTTAACTCCCTTCCCAACCCCCTCTCCCTCTCTTAAATGCCGCCGGCCCTATAGGGGCTCCACTCTTGTTTTTCCCTCTTAATCCCCCAACCCTATTTTGGAGTTTGAATTCAAAATTCAAATTCTTTCCCTCCCTCCGATTTCATTTAATCTGAAATTAATTTCAGATTTCCCTTAATTACTCCAAACCCTAACCTAGACCTACCCACCCTCCCCTCGCCACCTCCTCCTACCCGAGAATCCCCATCTTCCCCTCCTCCTCTTGGCCACCTCTCCTGGGTGATGGCTCCTCCACCATAACCCCACCACGATGCCAAGATCCTTCCATGATCATGTATGGCCGATCTGGAGCTTGATCACGGATTTGTGTTCAACTCTCAAGGGGAAATCGACGTCATCCAATCACTGTTCTTCGACGTTGGATTCAGATTCGACCACACCGTTGAAGAATACCTCGATCGTATTCTTTTCCACCCAGCGGACGTCATCGACGAGCAACGACCTACGGGAGAGTGGACAATCACCGGACGCCCACCCGCTTCTCCAACTCCGGCTCCTTCCCCGGTGACTAGCCCCCTTGGCATCACGTGTCTACTAGTGGCTTCCCTAAGCTTGTTTGCAATCTTCCTCTGCTAAGCCGAGCAATATCAAGAGTGTAAGTGAGGGATCCCAAGGTGAATGATCTAAATTTTAAATTGTGGATTTTGTTACGTGCCATTCGCTCTACTCATTTATTTGATGATGTAATTTTACGAGTTTCCAATTAATCTTTATTGTAATAACTTGTCATTACTTAGCCTTCCGTGATTTTTTCCGAAGATCTAACTTGAATACACATCCATTTATGCTTAGCCGTGCAAAGTTCATAATTTATTAATTTCGTATACGCAATTTTTGTTTCATCTTCATTGTATTACATCATGTCCTGGGGTGTTTTTATTTTTTATTCTTTTTTGGAATAATAATATTTCAACACTTGATATCAATACTGCTTGATGGCCATCATGCCCAACCACCATCTCTTTGGCGGATTGCCATAGAAGAAAAGGTGTTGCGATGGCTATCTTCAGGCTTTTGACCATTTCATCTTGTGTTGGGTATCTTTTAAGGAGAGGGAGGGAGGCTGTGTTTTGGATAGGGTGGGTTGGATTGGATGGAATGACTGAAAAGCGCCTCCATCACCAGTTCCAAAGACCCCATCGTTGATTGTGTTGTTAGTATGGAAGGATGGTGATAGAGGTTTGGAAACAGCGAAAGAGATTGAAAGCTGGAATGACAGGCAACTAGTCACGTGACAGAGGTGGTGTTGGTGTTGAAAGGAAGGGGTATGATTCATCTTATTTTGGTCCTTCAGATATTGTAAGCTTTTTCTTCGGTGTCAGAGTAGACTAGCACATTCAATTATTAACCTGTAGAGAGGTTTTGGCAGTTTGATGGTCCTAGGCCAAAGATATTACGGTGTTGACCTTTGAGACTCCCCTAACCTCGATGACTTGAATGTGATTTACAATGAATTTATATATGCTGTTTTTCTTTTGTGGTTTGTATTTTGGATAGCCGTTCTTGTCATTTTTTTTTCTAAATTGCAAAAATTCACCTGTATTGTCGTTTAAAAATGCTTTTTGTTCTAATTTTTTCTAGTTGCGTAGGTTATGGATGCTGAAGGTGTAAAATCTCTGGCTTTATTTCCAGCAAAATTTCAAAGAAGCTTCTGGATAAAAACAGGTCATTTTTTGTTCTATCTTTGGGCTTGGATCAGAACTTTATGCTGTGCTACCTAAGTCGTCAATGCCATCATAATTATCATCATCTATCAGTTAGACATTCATCTTTTATGTCATGATTCAATGGACTTCTATAGTTCCATCTTTAATGAACATTGGCATCACACCATCGTTATCTTTTATTTCTGTAATGTATGAACCTTTCGAGGATTCTTTGCTCTTCACTTATTTGAATGAAATGGGATTTTTCTTATGCTGAACATGCCAACTGATTTTTTAATGTTTTTTTTTTCCTTTCCATTGATAATATATTCGGCATTATTTCCTGGAAAGTGGTATACTAAAATGATCTTTGATTCTGTTGGCTGAGCAGGAAGTTTTGTGATTGTCGATGAAGGTGGAAGGGAGAAGGCCTTGGAATCGGGAGACAAAATTGCATGTATTGTATCTCAAGTTCTCTTTCATGCACAAGTTCGTTCTCTTGAAAGATCTCCTGACTGGTTAGTTTTCTGTTGCTTTAGTTTTGAAAGCTACTTATAACATTTTCACTTCTATTTCTACTTAGAGCTGTGGACCATTTGTGTTTTTTATTATCATCATCAGTAGCCTCTCCAGAATTTGGGGTTCGCTTTTCTCTTTTTGATGTTGTGGTGAGAATTTACGATATCTTTATTTTTCACTTGGTGAAGATCGCGTGAACTACATAGATTTAATCCGGGCTTTTGTAAAAGAAATTCTCTATGCGTCTGTGAATTTCTATGCTGATTATTTAAGTTGAATTGTAAAATTTTACCCTAGGCTAGCAATCCAACTGTGCTGAATCACGTGTTACTATGCTTAAACGCTACTTCATCTTTAATATTCTAGTACTTGTTTTATTAGGTGTCACAAAAGGTGGTGTTTGCGCATTCACTTTATGTATCGCTGATTCTTTTAGAAGCCAACTATCTACTGCTTGGAGTATTTTCAAATATTCTATTGACCCAACCCCGGACTGTTGTTGCATTAGTAAGGTATTATAACTGTTTTTCAGAACTTTCACATGTTATAGAATTGTCAAACTTTGTATGGCCATACAGACTTAAAATTTTGTCAGTTGACTGATGTAGCCTTCATTCAGTACTGGTACAATAGTTCTTACTTTTTGTGTGAGCAATATTCGAGCAATCAACTCTCAAAGCTCTAGCTTGGGATTACCTAAACATTTTTCGCTCCCCTACTAGATTGAATCAATCTCATTGCTCTAAAATGATGAATAAGCTTATAGGATGGCTTGATGGGTGGAAACAAGAAGTCCTTTCCTTTGCTGGAGGATTTCAATTAATCCATTCTACCATATGGAATTATCTCTACTATTGACTCAGATCTGTTTTAATATTATTTTGAAGACTAAAAAGATGCTAGATGAGTGGAGAATGAGTGTATTGATTCATATTTTTAAGAATAAAGATGATGCACAAGATTGTGCAAATTATTGAGGAATTAAGTTAATGTGTCATACTTTAAAACTATGGAAAAGAGTTATAGAGCATAGATTGTGGCGTGATACCAATGTTTCTCAAAATCAATTTGGATTTCATGTCGGGTAGGTTTACTATGGAAGCTATATATTTATTGAGAGATTTGATGGAGAAGCATATAGATAATAAGGAGGATCTTCATATGATATTTATTGATTTAAAGAAAACATATGATAAAGTTCCAGTAGAAGTTCTATGGAGAGTTTTACAAAAGAAGGGGGTTAATAATGCTTATATTCAAGTCATTAATGATATGTATGCATGAGCTGTTACTTGTGTTCAAACACAAGGTGGTTTGATAAAGTATTTTCCTATTTCCGTTGGATTACATCAAGATCAACTTTTAGCCCATATTTTTTTGCTTTAGCCATGGATGTTCTCACTAGACATTTGCAAGAGGTTGTAACCTAGTGTATTCTTTTTGCTGATGGTATTCTTCTTGTTGATAAGACTAGAGAGGGAGTTGAAGGTAAACTTGAATTATGGAGGTCAACCTTAGAGTCTAAAGGCTTTCGTTTGAGTTGATCTAAAACTAAATATATGGAGTGTAATTTTAGTAATAATAGATCTAGTGGGGGATTATGACTTTGACTGATCAAGTCATTAATAAGAGTACACATTTTCTATATTTTGGGTCTTTTGTTCAGAGTGATGGTGAAGTAGATGGGGATATTTTAGTAGAATGCATGTTGGATGGTTGAAGTTGAGGAATGCATCAGTTTTGTTATGTGATAAAAAAGTCCCCTTATACTTAAGGTAAAATTCTATAAGATGGTGGTTAGACCTGCAATGCTTTATGGTGCAGAATGTTGGCCATTAAAAGAGAGACATAATATTAATTGAAGAGATGAGGATGCTCAGGTAGATGAGTGGCTTTACTCTTAGAGACAAGATACAAAATGTGCATATACGTGAAAAGGTTGGAGTAGCTCCAATGGATGATAAGATTAAAGAGTCATCTTTGATGGTTTGGTCACATAAAACCGCAGGGCTAGGAAAGTAGATGTATTAGATTTGACATATATTAAGAAAGTTAGAGGTAAACCTAAAAAGACTTGGTTAAAAATATTAGAAATGACCTTTCTTTATCAAATTTAAATGAGAATTTAACTCTTAAACACAATGGAAAAAAAGAATTCATGTAGCTGACTTAGATCTGTCTTTGCCCAAGGGACCTAGGAAAAAATTACTACTCTGATTAATAACTTACTTTGGGGCTGTTTGGTTGCCTGAAAAAGAAATGTAGTGTAAAGTAAATGCAATGTAAAGTAAATGTAATGCATTCTAAATACTTTGAGCCTGTTTGATTATATGCAAAATAAACGCAGGAGAATTGTTTCCCTTGTTTGGTTAGGTATATCCAGAGTAAAGTAAAAGCATTCTTTTGTAATAATTTATTTTAACATTAAAATAAGTATATTTATAAAAGTAATATATTTATAATAATAATTATTATATTTATAATAATTTATAATATATTTATAGAAGCAATATATTTAAAATCCATAAGATTAAGATTGTTTTCCCTTGAATGATTGTGATAGAGATTCTCATCTACTTTCTAATTTTATCCATCTTTCTCCATATTTCTTCGTCTCATCCAATTTGTTGAGTTGACTGTATTCTTCATGTATATACAACATTTGCATATTAATTAATCGACAGTAATAAAAATATATATCTACATTGAATTGAAAATGCAGAAGCAACTTGAAAGCATGGTGGAGAAAGCATCAAAAGTTTATATTGATATATCTTTACTGACGTAATCAATTTATGATGTGAGCCATCATAGATGAGGCATGTATTAGCGCCTTCAGTTTGAGGATACTAAAAATAAATAACATAGTATTGAAGGTAATGATAACTATATGAACTTAAACGCCTTCGTCAAGCTGCTGTTTCAGAACTAAAGCTTCATTCTCGCTCTTCTCCCATCCTAAGAAAAGCATGAAGCCTAAATTTCTAAAATCTATAGTTAGAATTCTTTCAATTTCATCTGCAAGCATGTTCTTTAACATTGGAGCAACACAACGAGGAACTAATGAAATATTGAAGTTTCAAATTTAAGCTAGAATCACTGATCTATTTATGCATTGTCATAAAATTATCAAAAGCACACTGGCAACAGAAATGAAGATTCATGCTGCAAATTTATTATTATTATAATTTTATACAAAAGGTAAGAAGCAATTGCGAAAATTTAAAAAAAAGAGACGAGCAAAAACTAAAATACTAGACTTCATGATAAACAGTATAAATAAAATGAATGCACCAATAGTTCTTTCAATCAGTTGATTTCATATTCACCATTGGCCTGGACTTCCTTGACATGCTTCTCATACTCATCCTCTGTCTTTTCCTCTTCCTCTTCCTCTTCTTCATCTGTTTCTTATCTTTGGTTTCCTATTCTTACCTTTTGACTTGAATTTTCTCCATGTTTTTTTATAGCAATTTAATAGAAAATTTTAATTTTATATGATCAATATTATATAATAAAAATAAATTTCTTAATTTATAGTTAAAAAAAATTTAAAATTGATACAAAAATATATTTACTTAAAAGTGGAAAAATTCCACCTTCATCATTCATCCTCCCTCACCTAAATATCCAAATCCGAAGCCCTACAGCAATCAACTTCTTTTAAGTCGGCAGCATAGAGAACTGCGAATCTGTCCAAGTCTTGATCAACACATCACTGTAGCTTAAAAAAAAACACAAAATTCGTAAGCTACTGATCTGATTTCTATTCCTAAAATGATCAAAATAAAGTATCTGACCTGCAAGCAGTCCACTTATAATCTATTCCTGTAACGGTGGCGTGCATAGCTTCCTGTACATCCCGTCTCAAATCCTCCCTCGCCTGCCGTCCCGCCGCCTTCCTCCCCCACCTCCCCCTCTCCGTCGCCTCCGACTCCGACGAACACTTCCTGGAGGCCCACCACGCCTTCGCATCACCGGCGTCCACGTTCCTCAGTCGGGCTTCCGCCCTGCAGAACGAATCAAAGAAACCGGCCGACGACTGACCGACTACGCTAGGCAGTTCAATGTTTCGTTCGATTACCATGCGATTGCTTGCAACTGGGAGAATCTACAGCCAGAGGATTTCTCCATCGAATCCGACGAGGTGCTCGCCGTGAATTGCATGTACCGACTACGCAACCTTGCTGACGAGACGGTGTCGCCGGAAAGCCCGAGGGATCAAGTTCTGTGCACAATCAGAAAGCTGAATCCGAATGTTTTTGTGCTCGGAGTAGTGAACGGAACATACAACGCACCGTTCTTTGTGACGAGGTTCAAGGAAGCTCTTTTCCACTTCTCTGCTCTGTTCGATATGCTGGAGACGAATGTGGAGAGGGAGGATGAGCAAAGGAGGCTGCTTGAGATCGTCAAGGAAGGCGACGATGATGGTGGCGTAGCAGAAAGCCTCGCGCACAGCCTGGCGGTGAGTGCTGAAGTGCCGGTTTGGCGTCAATCAATGACATAGATTGCACAGTCGCTTCTCTCCTCCCTCGTCGTCGTTCGACTTCGTTCATTCGCGCGAGAGCTGGTTCTCGAGCAAAGAATTTGAAACCCGCTCATTTTGAGCGGCTTTGGAAATCGCGGGATCCGCCTCCTGTAATACATGCCTAATGCTTCTGAGGATTTTCTTTTGTTCCGCTCAAAATTAACCAAACAGCCGAATTTAGTAAATACATGTATTTTCTTTACTTTACCCTCCTAATTCAGGCAACCAAACTGCCCCTTTATGTAAACGATATTACTAACAAGATTCATATGACATCTTGTTCCTTTATTTTCTTTCCTAGAGATAAAGGTGGCTTGGTCTTCCTTCCATTGAGGTTTTACACTCTTTATTTGAGGCAAAGTTTATATGTAGTATTTATGATGAAAATACTCTTTTTTGTTGATTGTTGCTATAATGTTTATAATTCCTTATGAATTAAATCTTCTAGTAATTCTTCCTATTTTCAAAAAAAACTTTACAAGACTGTCTATAGTCATAAGAATATGATTGAGCTTAAGATTTTTGTTAATAACCACCTAATCTTTTTCTTTGATTCTTGACTTAACGGCGTCTCTCTTTGTGAAATTTGGAGTTCATATATTTTAGGTACCTCAATTTGATCAGTATACTCGGGTGCAATATTAAATAAGCAAGAGTTTCAACATCATGGACAAATATGATAAAACAAGCTAGTCTATGAAATTATAATTATGATATGAACTTAGAATATAGGCGTTTTTACGAGCAAATTGATGAAATTAATAGATATTATGATTCATAGGAAGATAAATATTATTTTTATTCAGGAAATTAAATATGTTGAGGAATTTCTAAGGAAATTAGTACTTTCGGATTTAAATTATATAATATTCAGGTAGTAGTCGTTCTAAAAATAATATAGGTGTGCTTAGAAATAAGAGTTTGAAGGATAATGTTGTAGAAATTGATAGAATTACAGATAAAATTATATATTTAAAGATTGTTGTTGATGCTAAGATTATTAATGTTATAAGTGCTTATACTCAAATATATTTGAATATGTATTTTTAACCACATCATACACAAATGTCATCGTCCATGAAATTAGAATATCGGTATTCTTAAGAGTAAATTAATGGAATTAATAGATATTATGATTTATAGGAAGATAATTTTTTTTTTAATTCAGGAAATTATATGAGTTGGGAAAAACGTTATGGAAATTGATAGTTTGGAATTTAAAATATAATATTCAGGTAAGAGACATACTACAAATGGTATAGATTAGCTTAGAAATGAGAGTTTAAAGGATAATATTATAGAAATGAATAGAATTAGAGATAGAATTATAACTTTAAAAATTATTGTTAATGCAAAGATTATTAATGTTAAAAGTGTTTATGTTCCTCATGTAGATTTGGATGTGTTTAAAAATAAAATTTTAGAATGATTTAGAAGAATTAATATAAATGACATCTCTTGAGAAAAGAGTTTTCATTAGAGGTTATTTAAATGGACTTGTTGATGGAGTGGTAGATGATTTGAAAAATATTCATTGTGGCGATGAGTTTAGAGCAACTAATGAAGGTGGTAGAATCATATTAGATTTACCTATAGCTTATAATTTTTTAATTGTTAATACTTTTTTAATGAAAAAGTATGTGCATCTCATCACTTTTAAGAATAGGTATTATAAAATTTAGATTAACTATTTTCTTTGAAGAAAAATAGATTGTTTATATTTTAAAGATTGTGGTCATTATGAGTGAAAGTTTAAAGAACTTATTAGTTTTGAATTTTAATATGAAAGGGTGGAAATTGAAAAATAAAGTAAAATATTATTTTAGGATTAGACGAGGATATTTAAAGAATGCAAATAAAAATATTTTTAAAAGTAAGATTCATGATCTTAAGATTTGGGTTGTTCATGAGAAAACTAATGTCATATGAGAAAAATAGCTTAGTGAAAATAAAAATATTGCAAAGTATGTCCTTGAAGAATCAAAAAGAAAAATTTCAAATAATAAAAATAGTTAGTGGTGGAATCAAAATGTGCAAAAAAAAAAAAAGAAGTGTTATTTATAAAAATTGGTTAAGATACAAAAGCTTAGAAAATTGGGATAAATATAGAGGGGCTTGTAGGGAGTCTAAAAAGCAATATGTGATGTAAAAAAAATTATTTTTTAGTGATTTATGTAATAGATTAGATACTAAGGAGGACAAAAGATGTATCTAAGATAGCCAAACAAAGAAATGAAAGAAGTAATAATTTAGTTTGAGTGAACTACATGAAGTATGAAGATCGAAAAGTATTTTTCTTAGAAGAATATATTCAACATAGGCATATGAGATGTTTCGATTAATTATTCAATGAAGGTTGTGAGAATGCGATTGATTTTAGTGACCTTAGCACCTTAAATGAAAATATAGATTTTATTTTTATCATTGTATAAGTAAAATCAAAGTTGGAGAGACTTAAAAAAAAATGAAGTACGAAAAATTAGTAGTACCTAATGATATTTTAATAAAAGTGTGGAAATGCTTAGGAGATTAAGGAATTTCTTGGTTTATTAAGCTTTTTAATATTATTTTGAAGACTAAAAAGATATTAGATTAGTAGAGAAAGAGTGTATTAATTCTTATTTTTAAAAATAAAGATGATGCACAAGAGTGTGTAAATTATAGAGGAATTAAGTTAATATGTCATACATTACAATTATGGGTGAGAGTAATTGAGCTTATGTTATGATGTGATATTAATGTTTCTCAAAATAATTTTGCATTTTAATATCAAAAGGTCTACGATGAATGCTATATATTTGCGGAGAGGTTTGATGGACAAGTTCAGAGAAAGGAGGATCTATATATGATATTTATTGATTTAGAGAAAGTATGTGATAAAGTTTAAAGAGAAGTATTTTGGAGAGTTGTATAAAAGAGAGTTAATAATGCTTATGTTCATGTCATGAAGGGTGTATTAGCCATTACATATATGTATACAGAAGCTGTTATTATTGGTCAAACACCAGGTGTTTTGACCAAATATTTTCCTATTCTAGTTCGATTACATCTAGGATTAGCTTTGAGCCTATATATTTATTAGACATTCCTTGGTGTATATATATATATATATTTGAAGATATTCTTCTTGTTGATAAGACTAGGCAGGGAGTTGATGAAAAACCTGAATTATAAAGGTAAACTTTAGAGTCTAAAGGTTTTGTTTTAGTATATCTAAAATCGAATACATGGAGTATCATTTTAATAGTAACATATCTAGTGTTAGGCTTATGATATTGGGTGATCAATTCATTAAAACAAGTATATATTTTAGATATCTCGGGTCAATTGTTCTAAGCAATGGTGAAATAGATGGGGATATTATTGGTAGAATTCAAGTTGGATGATTGAAGTGAAGGAATGAATTGGGTCTGCTGTGTAATAGAAAAATATCCCTCAAACTAAAGGGAAAATTATATAAGATGGTGGTGAGACTTGCAATGCTTTATGTTGCAAAATATTTGCTATTAAAAGATCATCATAAATTTAAGTTAATTGTTGTAGAGATGAGGATGCTCAGGTGAATGGAATGTGAAATAAGCATATATGTGAAAAGGTTGGAGTAACTCCAATGGTGGATAAGATTAGAGAGAGTCGCCTTAGATGATTTGGTCACATAAAATGTTGGCCTTTTGACAACCCTATTAAGAGCGTAGATATATTAAATCCGTCCTATGTGAAGAATGGTAGAAGTAGAACTAAAAAGACTTGGTTAGAACACATTATTTAAAATTGCACAATGTGAGGCGCGCCTCAACAAAATTTTGGTTAAAAAATGCCTCAAGGCAAGGCATACGCCTCGAGCTTTCATTTGGAATACTTTATGCGGAGTTGTGGCATTTGAATGCATTTGGAATACTTTATATTGAGTTGTGGTATTTGGAGGCATTCTATCTTGTTTTTTGAGATTTTGTTTTGTCTGGGTTTCTTAATTGTTCAGCTTAAAGCTTTGTCTTATAGGGAAGTCTTATAGGGATGCTAGTTTTGTGCTTCTATTAGATTTATTTGCTCTACTATATTGCATGAGAGTGCTTTTTCTCTTGATACATTCCTCTGTTGCATAAATTCTGTCAATTTATTTAACTTGTCTAATATCTGCTATTGAATTTTCTGTCATTCTCTATTGTTGTATGTGGGTTGATGGTTGGCTAATATCTTTGAGGAGTTCTTTATTAGAGGTGTCAAAATTGGTCAACGGGTCAGTTCAAGTCCTACCCAAATCTAATCAACATGAACTTAACCTGTTTAATAAATGAGTAAAAAAAGTGGAGTCGAACCCGACCCACTAGCAACTCGAATCCAACCCGATTACCATTTTAATTAAAAAATATTTTATTAATTTTTTACCATAGATTTTAGATTACTTGATAAAAAAATTGTGCTAATAAATAAAAGAATTTAAAGAAAAAAATTATCAAACATGCCTTTTCCGAGTCAAAATTGGGTTGGCGGGTCAACCCAAACCCGACCTGTTTAATAAACAGGTTGGAATGCACGACCAAAACCTACCCATTTATTAAATGAGACAATCTAAACATGAATTTTTTAGGTCAGGTCCGAATCGGGTTTGTTGGTCGGGTCATTTATTGACACCACTACTCTTTATTGAAAATCACCTAGGACTTGCTTTGATATGTGGACGAACTGTGGATGCACTTCAATTATGTTTTTCTTTTTTATGTTGAATGGCCTGCGGTGACATTCAATCTTCTATTTATTCTGCTAGGATGCTCTCTTTTAGAAATCTTTTAGCAATATCCTGTTTTTGCTAATATTGCTGTGAAAGATTGCTTTTTTGCTTCTTTTGGGCTCTGCTCAGCTATGAATAATGATAATTCCCTTGAATCTTATATTACAAAAAAGTGTTGCCCCTCGCCTCAACTGATTTATATCAAATACTGTACTTTTTGGCCACCTCAGATGGCAACTATCTGATCACACTGATGATTCAACAGATTTTGGGGTTTTCCTACTCCATTTTTTATTCTTTTTTGGATAGTTTTTTTACTATTGAATGTAATTGGAATTTCTCCAAGTTTTTTTTTTCTTTGTATCACTTGGTATCTCTTTCTATATAGAAATTGTAATCATGTTCTAACTTTTTTCTTAATGAAAATGCTAGGCCCTCAATTTCCCATGAAAAAAAAACTATGTTTATACTTTTCGGGTTTGCGTGCAGGCCTGCAAGCTTTAAAAATGCTAGACCCGAGGAACCAAAGAATGTTCAACTTCAGCCAGAGTCATACCATGGGGAGGTTCTAAATTCTGATAGTGAAGATGACCTTCCACCACTGGAGGCAAATTTGAACAGGCGGAGACCTGTTGAACTATATTCAGATTCTGATTCTGATCACGATGCTTAGACAATTGGTGATACAGACATGAAGATGAATCCGACTTAAAAGGTTTTACATTTCTCATAAAGAATTCCGCTTTGCCTTTCAGGAAAAACAATATGGCCAGGTGCATTAAATTAGATTTTTTTCTACTGTATTGCATTACATGCATTTGTCCGGATGGTTTGTTCTACAGTTCAACTGATTCTGGCAGAATTCGATTCTATGTATGGTGCAGCAGCAAGAAGGAGAGATCCACACAAGAGCTGAACTCAATGGAACAGTAAAAACTAGGAGGAATTGTATTAGAAAAAAACTAACTGTCTTCCTCTACAGCACACGGCTTAAAAGTAAGAAACTAAGAGTAAGAAATTACTCTTTCTAGAAACTGTGATAGTGCAGGAAAGTAGTACTGTAATAACAGAAAAAGTATTAAAGCTAATGATAATAAAGTAGTGGAGTTTGTAATGACGGTAAGCTGAGCCGCCGGAGTAACTTAATAGGTATTGCCTGCATCAATGTAATTTGAAATAGCTGTTGCTTTGTTGGAATGATATCAGGTTTAGATTTTGAATAGTCTTAACCAGTTCATTTTCTGCTATTCAAAATTATTACTTATTGACAAATTATTACTTGTAAAATGAATAATCCTTAGTGAATACATCCGCGTTCTGTCATACTAATTGACAAATTTATACAATGTGGATAAGTGTGTCTATGTTAATTCATATGTTTCCATGCTGAAATATTGTAGATGGAAGGTGTAACATTGTAACTTGATGGAACCTGGAATGTAAGCAGAACTCTTCCAGTTGGCCGAGGAAAGAAACCTCACACAGCTTCTTGAAAAGAAACGAACTTCTGTATTACTTTTGTTTATTAAGAATATAAGATTACTCTACAAATATACAGCCCTTATTTATATGTTTTTACAGAAAACAAAACAAATACAATTGCTAGAGTAAACAAGTCCCTGTTAACCAAAAAACGGTACTAAAACAGTAACTAAGTAATTGCAAGAATTGGAACTTAACAACCTAATGACAATTTAAACAGATCACTGTTACAACAAATTTATACAATGTGGAGTAGTGCGTCTGTTATTTCATATGTTTCCATGCTGAAATATTTTAGATGGATGGTGTAACATTGTAATTGAGTAAAAGTTCAAAATGGTCCCTCAACCATCAATAAATATCCAATTTAGTCCAAGAGTATCATATTCTTCCATTTTAATCTCTTGAATATTGAAAATTGAGCTGATTTGATCCGTGACCGTTTAAATTAACGGAGAGAGACGAAGAGGTTCGTTTCTTGGGATCATTTAAGTAAAATACCTATGCCATGCTTCCTGATATACGTCATGCACGCACCCTGCTAGATGCGACACCTGGAGACCTTTTTGCGCAGGAGAAGCAAACGGCCTAGGATAACATGAACGAGGCAGCCGACCACTAAGGCAGCGACGCATGCAAGGCAACAACACGAGTGAGCATGCGACACGAGCAATAGGTCGGGCAAAACGCACTGAAGCATACTTCGATGCGAGTGAGATAAACCACAGACAGATCTAGGTTTGTTGTTTCTCTTGGCCTCAATTTTTTTGCTTCTAGTTCTTCCAAAGTCCAAGGTGCTGCCGCTGAAGTTCTGAAAGCTAGTGATTGAAATTTTCTTTGTACTTCTCATGAATTAACTTGAGCCTTTCTTGGTGCTATGTAAGCATAACATAATGGCATACATTCTATTTTAGAGGTAGTCTATTCTTGTGGAGCAAAGATTTGGAGGCATTAGGGGCTTGTAATAGTGGCATTTAGGCAACTCTAAGGATGAGTATCCCGATGGTTAATTGGGTTGGAATCAGAGATCTATTTTAATTGAGATTTGATGTCAAAAAGATCCTTGTTTGAGCAAATATAATATAATTTTTTAATATTTTTGTGAATTATGATCTTAAACATTTTTATATCAGTGTTATAATATATAAAGCTTGATGTTGTTGGTGTTGTTCTTGTTAAAAAATTTAATAGGAAATAATTTAAAAATGTTCATGGTTACTACATGGTTCATCTCTAATAAGGGGCCTCATTGAACTATTTGTTTTAGTAGGTCCACCTAACTTATAGTGAAAATTGAGAAATCGAAAAATAATTGTTGAACCACCGATTTCTTTTGATAATGTTGTGAAATCCTCAGTATTTATTTTGATTTCTTTTTTTATTTTGCAAGTGGAGGTTATTTATTTTTTTATTAGCTCTATTTGGTGTAATTCAATTGGAGTTATTGAGGGTGGAGTGACAAGTGTCATCGACAACAAATGCGAATTTTTTTTTAGAGTAAATTCTATTGGCTTTATTCATTGATAAGCACGAAGATTAATTTAAAGTTTGGTTTAATTATGATTGTATTTTTCAAAATGTGCATATATGTAGCAGTGAAACGGGAAATGATGAACTACATGCATTAGTTTTTGAGTTGATGGATTACTCCAATTTCGTAAAAGTTTGTAGTGGTTTGTCCGAACCAATCACTATTGATCTGTCATGTGCTAATGTCGAGGATGTCGATGCACCTGAGAGAAGTAATTATCATAATGATGACATGGACGAAGACAATGACGAGGTTGAGGATTTCAACTTAACAGATGACAGTGGGTAATTTGCAGACAAAGATTATGAGATGCATGAGGATGATGAGTTATTTGAAAGTAATGTAGATCCTTATGTTGGATTTGTGGGCACCACAAATAAGGGAAAGGAAAAAATTGGGGTTTCAAATATTGAGTTTGAGGTTAAATTAGAAAGAAGTAACTTTGAAGTTGATTGTATGGGTTCCAATGATGATGCTAGCTCCATAGTGGCGGGGAAAATGATCACACAAGATGACCATTATTCAATCCCATTTATGACTATGCCAAGCAAAAGTTTGAAGTGGGAATGTTGTTTAGTAGCAATGAAGAATTTAAAGAGGTTGTTCATAGTTGGTCTATTTCAAGTCGAAAAGCAATAAAATTCTATGACAGAAGAAGCTACAGAGTTATTTGCAGGAGGCCTAATTGTCCTTTTCTTCTCTACATCTCAAAGCATGAAGGAAGTTGTTCATTGCAGGTTAGATCATTGGAAGAGCATACATGTTCATGGACCTATCATAATAAGACATTGACATCAACAATTATATCAAAACAATTTGTGAACAAAATTAGAATTTCCGCATTGCAAGACAAAATTTTTCCGAAGAGAAGTTATTGATGAGTTGAAGTTACATGTGTCAAAGTCACAGGCAAGGAAGGCTGTTTGTAAGGCTCGAAATTTGGTGCACATGAAGGACAAAGATCAGTTCAAGAAGATTTGGGATTGTTGTTTGGAAATCATAAGAATAAATCCAAGTACAATAATATATGTGTTAACCACAAGAGATGTCAATCTACAAGGAAAAAAAACTTTTATGAGAATGTATGTTTGTTTTGAAGCTTGTAAAAGGGGTTTTCCGAGAGGTTGTAAGTCAATTATTGGAGTCGATAGAAGCTTCTTAAAGAGCCCACAGGGTGGTCAGCTACTAAATGTTGTTAGTTTGGATATTATCGAAAATCAGACAAAGTTCACATTCATATCTGACAAACAGAAAGGTTTAGTTTTTGCTTTTGTAAATATACTATCAAATGTGATAAATAGGTTCTATGTTCATCACATACACCAAAATTTTTAAGTTGCTGGCTTCAAATGTATTGCACTAAAAAATACTTTATGGGAACCTGCTAGAAGTACTTTAATCACTCAATTTACATTTAATATGGAGGAGTTGGCGAAACTGGATATGAATGCTTGCAAATGGTTGACTGAAAAGCACCTAGGAGATTGGTCGCGATCACATATTCCATGCACCTCAAAGTGTGATACTTTGCATAATAATGTGTGAATGTTTCATTGCCATGATTCTTGAAGCAAGAGAGGAACCCATCATCTTCATGTTTGAGAGCATAAGAAACTTGGTGATGAACTGGATGTAACAGAAGCATGAGACATCATCAAGGTGGAATGAGAAGTTATGCCCAAAATTTTTTGAAGCACTTTTAAAGATTTTGTGCGACGTCCGGGGTGGGGGTGCATTGGAGTGAAAGCTAATGATGACAATTACCAAATTACTACAATGCAAGGGGCACGATATATCGTTGAGTTGGATTTCATGTCTTGTATTTGTAGAAGATGGGAATTAAATGGATTGTCATGTCTTCATGCATGTGCTTCAATCAATATCGGGGAACTTCTTAATGGTTTTGTGCATAACTTCTACATTGTGTACAATTATAGGAGAACTTATGAGTTCAACATTATGCGCATTAATAGTCTTGGCGACTGGCCTAAAAGCGAAAGACAATCTCCACTGTCGTCAAGATACAATAAACCTAAGAGGGGCCGCAATCAACGATGAGAAGAAGAGGAAAGTTGATAACTCATAAAGGAAAAGCTTAAGTAGGTCAACTGTAACTATCCATTGTACTACATGCAAAAAGAATGATCACAATAGTAGAAGTTGCGACAAAAGAAAAGAAGCATAAAGAAACTATTTCTACTCAAACGCTTCATGCAGATGTTGGCTTACAATACAGCGCAATAACACAAGATGATTTGCATCTTCATGAATTAAATTCAGACAACATAAGTGAAGATATTGCATATTTATGTTTGACTTATTTTTTATGGTAAATGAACTAACATTTTTTTTAAATATGTATCTTCGCTCCAGTCGGCATATCTAGATCAAAATTGTAGCTCACAAACAAGACCACCGCTGAATGTGTGCACACAAGGATCATCAAACAAATGGTTGGTGATATGTTAGCAAACATATTTAAATAAATACATATGCAATTCAATTTTTATAACTACTAATTTGATATTATGTTTGTTAATAGGTTTATACATCTAAAAGAAAGAAGATTGAGTAGATGAAGCTTGGAGAATAGAAAACCCAATGATTTTTTTTTTTGTATTGACTTGTGTTTACACATTTTGAAAGATACCATCAAGGAATTTCTTCTTGTTATATCCTTGATTTGATTTATTTTGAGTCACCTCATTTTTGTCGTCGGTTTTGCTATTGAGATTATGACTTATTTTAAAATTAAGGTGAAACTTTTAATACACAAATATTTTTTTGAACTCCATGTTGACCTCGTTTTCGGCATCGGTCACTCTCACTATCTTGTCTTGCATTTTGTAGATTGAGCCACATTCTTGTATGTTGCATCACTTTGTGTTTGGTGAAGTGTCAACTTGTGTATTTTGCATCGGCTCGTTGGCGGCCTTAGGATTTACTCCTTTTGATCATATGTCCATAATAGTATATTTTAATTAAAATATGAATACAAAATTAATAAGTTTATATAATACAATAAAATATATATAATAATGTCTAATTGGAAATATTATTATCATTATTTATATGTTTAGCTTAAATACAAATTTATTTTTGGTTTTACTTTGTTCATTTTCTAAATCAAGAAAATTTCTGGATCTAACGGTTAAAATTCGTAATTGATATTATTTAATTTTAACCCTTAGATTTAGGGCATCAAAAAGAGATTCAATTTGGACCCTTGGATGAGGGGTTTTGTTGGCTTTTCTTTTAAAGTTTTAATCTTTCATTTTCATGTAAAAAAGGTAGAGGAGATTCATCCTCACGAGGGCAGAAGAGGATAGCAGCCGCAAAGAAAGAGAAACTTCTCTCCATGATGCTCTCGGTTCTCTCTTCGATTTCATCCGTCCGACCACACCTCCAGTCGCCGGCATCCTTGCTCCCGAGCTAGCCTACCGCCAGCTAGCCTTCAGTCCAGCCATCCGACCATATAATCGGTTCTTCTGGCTGCCGCCCTGCACCACCAAACCGAACCAAACTCCTCATGCCGTCGGCTTCCTCCACTCCATATACAACAGCAACCTTCCAGGCCATCGGCTGTCCGACCACCAACTCCATCCGGCATCCAAATCCCCATCTCGACTCGGGTCACCTACACTCTCTCACGCTGCTATGCCGAGAGGAGAAGGGCAGAGTTTCCGATGTTAGATCTTTCAGGCAAGAGTGATAAGGGCAGCTTGCAATCCAAGGAAGGTCAGGAAGATTGTGACTGCTCTTTGTTCCCTTTCTTGAGAAAAAAAAAAAGTGCTGTTCATATTTCCAAAACAAAAAAAAAGTGTATTTAAAATTTTCTCGAGAATGCTCTACAGACTATTTTCATTTTTATTTTATTATTATTATTTTTTTTTAATCTTTATGTTATTCTGAAAATATAATTTGTTCATTTAAACAGCTATTCTCTAGTGATATGTGCCATGATTTAATACTCTTTAGTCACATGCATTCACCCGATAGCTCTTTTCCACTTTGATCTCTCCTTGGAGAGAGAACCATTCATTGAGTGATGTTATGAGATACCTTCGGTAATATTTTGTTGCAATTTTTCATCAGTATATGTATGAGTAGCAATATTTACTTATTTAGTATAATGCTCAGGCTAATAAAAGTGAATAATACGCTTACAAAAGTCACGTGAATAGTAAATTACTTATTTTGTTCTAATACGCCTAGTTATTCCCTCTAACAAAATTCTATGGTTATGGACATTGATTATTATTTTTATTATTATTATTATTATTATTATTATTATTATTTTCTTTAAAAAAATTTTATTCAGATCTTTGATTAAATTAAATTCTTGGTCATCTAAAGATATTTATATGAGTTGAGTTGGACAAATCAGAACGCACATATGTTGAAACTT